GTAAACAACCAGTGACTGTTATCAGTTTGCCTTTCAAAAATAAAAATTGGAGTCTAGTAATTCCCATGAAGCTGAGGATGCTGAGCATCACCGGATGCCTGTCACATAAAAACATTTCTAGGATGAGGCCCAGACAGATAAATTTTTCTCTTTAATATTTTTTCAAAGTGTCTTTAGAAAGGAAACAGTATCCACAATTATCACAAAATCTGATAAAGAATGGATTTAATAATTAGTAGGAATTAAATGGGTAAAGCTTTGGGAAACAATTTGGTAATGTCTCAAAAATTAAAATTGTGCACATCCTTTTTATCCAGCAATTTCACTTCTAGCAATTCAGCTACACATTTCTCCACAGTATGTTTATAAAGATATGCATGTATGATAGTCACAGAAGAACTATGATGACAAAATATGAGGATGATGTTGATTAGGAGCAACATAAGTGTTTGTCAATAGAATAATAGTTTAATAAATTTTGTTTCATCCATGTGAATATAATCTATTGAATCATTTTTACAAGACATGTTCTTGGAATATTTATCAAATCTCTAGATTTATTTGGCTAGCACTAACATTTTAACAATAGTAAATCTTCTAATCCATTAACACTAGATATCCTTAAATTTAAGAGACTTTAAAATTTCTCTCAATAACATTTAATCATTTTTCAACATAAAGGTCTTGTCCATAGCTTTTATAACAGCTTTTGGGTTTATTAGTTCTACTGTTTTTCTATACTTATATTTTTCCTTTTAAATGATTAATTTCTTCTTTCTGTTCTTATTTCATTTGTTTTACTGTTCTTTCTTTAGCTTCTTGTTAGGCCCTTAAAGGATTCTTTTCATTTTCTGCTGACAAAAATGTTTTATACTTTGATGCTATGAATTATCCCCCGAGCACGTCTTCAACTGCACCCTCTAGGTTCTGATTAAAATGTTGTTTTTTTTTTTATTTTTCATTCCTAGAAAATCTTTTAGCTTGAATTTTTTAAAAGGGGTTTTTGAAATTACCAAATGGAAAAGTCTCTCTTCTCTTTCTGATTTTGTTATTATTTGTTGCTATATTTTCTTATTTCATTGCAATGTGATCAAAGAATGTTTTCTCCCTTATTTTGACTTTTTTGGGCTTATGGAGGCTTTGTTGTGGTTTAATATTTAGTCAATTTTATGGTCATTTGAAAAGACATTTTTGTTTACTGCTATCCTCTATTTTTCAGGGACTATAGTTTGACATATACATATTAGATATAGCTTATTAATTATGTTATTGAGGTCATCTATCTCTCTGTATACACTTTGATGTATTTGATCTATCATAGGTTAAAAGATGATATATTTTCCTAATCCTACAATGTTTTTGTCTATCTTTATACTCCCAATTTTTGATCTGTGAATATTATTTGTTGCAAAGATATACATTATTGTTAATGGATTCTCTAGCATGATGAAGAGTCATTTTCTCCCATCTAATGATTTTTGGCTTAAATACTAACTTCTCTGATAAGAGTGTGGTTCCTATTCTCCTCTTTACCTTTGCTTAAAACTACTCTTTAATTTTTGCCTTTCGGTATCACTTTGAACATTACACTGTATTTTTTTTATTCAACATAGTTTTGGATATTGCATTTTTATGTAATAAACATTTTAAAAAATAAGTGAGTCTAACCCTTTTTTATTGACATATTTCTTTGGTCTTACTTTGCTTATATTACTTTATGTTCTGAATTTAATCATTTTAAAAATATTTCATTACTGGTATGTCTTATTTGCTTTATATTTTGTGTACAATTCTGAATTCAGAAGAGCTTGTATTTTATTTCTCGTAGTTGCCTTTTTTAAGTATAAATGTATAGTTACAATGAAGATTATGCAATACATTGCCCTTAGTGCAGTTTCTTTAAACAATATCTCATTTCCATTTGACAATTCTCCTTTCATTCCCCTCTCTTTTATCCATCATCTGATTGTACTTAATAATATCTTTTTCGTGCTTACCTTTGTACTGTTAAGTATAATTGTTTTCCATTCCTTGATTTATCAACTTTAAAGAACACTCAACCTTTTGCGATCGCAGAAGCAGCAAAAAGTGAGCATACTCTGCTCCCACATTCTTTTCTCTTTCTGCTCCCAATTTTTGCTACTTGTATTATGACAACATTTTCACGGCCTCTGGGATTTTAAGGGGTAAGTCTCTGATCCACTTTTAAAATTCCTCTCTGCACACACAGTGGTTTAACAAGCCAGGATCTGCTGAGTCATTCATGGTCCTCCACCCACCTAAGGTCCTCTGAAATTGTTTTGACATCTTTTGTCCTCTGAGCTCGCCTTTCTTCTTCTCTTTGTTCTTGTGTGTTTATACTCTTCTTATTCCCATGCTGTCATTTTATTGGCATTTTGAGAGGGTATGGATAAAACATATGCATGCTATCTTCATTTTTAACAAGAACCCCCGAATAACTCTTTATTTTGAGGGAAAATGATTTGCAGTGAAAGTTCAAAAGAAGGATGAAAATTTTACATGTTATATGATCTCAGTCATCTTGATGGAGACTAAGAGTAGAAAATTTAGGATGGAGGTGTCACAAGACCAGAAACTGGAGGTGGAGGTAGAAATGATTAATATGGCTATTAAACCAGCTATAGAAATGAAAACTCCTTAGGCCCAACTGCTATGTATATAACTGGTACCAAGTATCACATGCCATAGAAAGTATCTGGAGGCACAGACCAAAGGTGGGGATCCAGAGTTTGAGGGCCATTATAGAGAATCACTGGTCCTTAAACATCGACCTAGTCATGCTCTAGAAATAATTAATTTAACAATAGATAACAATTCTACAAAGGACCCATCCCCAAAAGAACACTATGTCAGAACAATTTCTGTGCTGGAAAAAGGCAGCTGTCCTGCTCCAGACACTTTGCAATTCCTCTTTTCCTAATAATCCTGTCCTTTTAAAATGTGACCTTTGCTTGCCTGTGTCTGTGCAAACATCTCCCAGGTAAACCTGCCATGTGCCCCTGAAAGGGGAATTCTGCTGGAACTTGTCAGAGGCGACCCAAGGAGCCTGCTCACTAAACCCAAAACCTCATCAAATTAAAGACATCATTCTTATAGGTAAATCTTTTTCCTTCTAAAAACGATGTCTTTTTTTTTTTTTTTTTTTCACAAAGAAACTTAGATCTTAATCCACTTAGAAGTGATTCTTGTATGTACAATCTAATTTTTCTATTGGGGTTCTTTATTCTGCAACATCGTTATTGAAGACAGTCCTCGCCTCACTATTCCACAGTGCTACCTAATGTCTGTATGTGCATCAGTCAGGCTATGAGCTGACTATTCCCCCATATCCCACCCCACCATCGATTGGACTAATCATACATCAGTGGCACCTAGTTTCCATTATTGGAGTTTTATAGCAAATCTGATGTCCTATAGAGCAAGTTCTTTTTTCTCACCTCATATTTTTTCTTTAAAAATGTGTTGGCTGTAATTTGCTTTTTGCATTTTCATATAAGTTTTAAAGTCATTTTGTCAAGCAGCAGTTTTTAAAAAACCTGTTGGGGGGTTTGATTGGAATCACATTCAATTTATTACTCATTTTGGGGAGGAATATGCTTTCCTCCCCAAAGATCATCACTTGTTGGGTTTCCTTTAATATTATTCAATATTAAAAAAATTCTTCTTAGAGAACTTATTCAACTATGATAATCTTATTTATAGATACTGGATATTTTAAGATACAGTGCAAATGGTAGATTAAAATTTTTCCTATTATGTTCATTGCTAGTTTATAGATATACAGTTAATTTATGTATATTAATTTGTGTCTAGTTACCATGTATTATACTCTTATTAATTCTAATCATTTAATTACATTGGTTATAATATATACAACCATGATATCTATAAATCATGGCATCTTTGGTGCTTCTTCTCTTATTCTGGCACCTTTTCTTTCTTTCCCTTGCCTTACCACACTGGTTAGAATCTCCTTTATGAATTGATAGAACTGATGAAACAGCCTTTTTTCTTCTGAGCTCAAAGAGAAAGCTTTTCATATTTCACAATTAAGCATGATACTGGCTACTTTCTTTAAAGTGGGTATCCATTATTAGAGTAAAGCAATTGCCTTTTATTCCCACTTTTCTAAGTGTTTAAAATCATAAATAGATATTAAACTCTTTGATTTTTCTGCATCAATTAAAATGATAACATGATTTCCTTCTTCATTGACAGAAAGAACATTTCCTTCTGTGGCATTTATTATTGTCATAGATAGCAAAAAATAATAATAAATACATACATGAAGTTAGAAAAAGAGAACATTCTACACAGCTCCTGATATTTTAGTAAAGGCATAACAGGCTTGAGCTGGGGCCGAGGCACCTCTCCCAGATGAACTAGTGCAGGATGTTTTTGGAAAAGGCCCTAAATTCTGAAACTATAAAACAGGGAAAATCATCTCAGGAATATTAAGATCACTTTGAAGTATATGAGCCATGATTAAACAGTTTTATTCATGGCTATTTTTTGGAATATGTCCCAGAACTACTTGTTCTTAATTCTTTCCCAATTTTACTCCTGCTGCTCTTTCAGAGCAGGCCTTCCTGAAACTTCCTTCATGTGTGTGGCCAGCAGGTGAATGTGTGTTTATGAAGGAGAGGGAAGCCCATCTGTCCAGCCCACCACAGACCAATGAAATCACACCCTCTGGGGCTGAGACCCAGGCATTAGCATTTTTTAAAAAAAAGTCTCCCTAGGGGATTCCAATGCTCAGGCAAGGTTGGGAACCACCGATCTATAGCTCTTCAAAGTTGAAAGTCATATGTGCTTTTATGAAATAAATCCACAGAGAAGATAACTAAATAGCACAAAGTCAGATAGATAATAGGATTCAGAATTATCCAAATGGAGACCTGAGAGAATAAATTAGTCTACCAAGTGAAGGAAGAAAATAGAAAAAGTGAAGACACAAGAACAACAACAGAGCTACTCACTCGATTCTCCCTGCACTCTCACTCTGTGTCATGTACACACAATTGATCAAAATAGTGACTGTAATAAATACACTGAACCATCTGAGAGGCCTGTGTTAAGGAAAAGCTGAGCATCATCGTGTCATCTAGGATCACCTGGATGGTTGATTGAATGATTGAATGATTAAATTCATAATTCTTAGTCATATAACAACCACTAACATTTACTACGTGCCTACCCTGGGCTGACTACTTCATCTACATTATTTCTAATGCAACCGATCTACAGGTGGATATTACATCTGGAGTAGAGAAAACAGGCTGACAGAGTTTAAATCACTTTTCCAAGTTCATCAAGCTAGTCAGCCATGGTGCTGAGACATGAACTTACCTCTCTTTCTGCCCTGAAGTCTTCACTTCACTATGCAATTTGGCTGGGAGTTTCATTCAGCAAATGTCTCTTTTATTCACAAAGGTAAGGTTCAGGGAAGGACTACAGCTTTCATGGGAGTTAGTTATAGTGTTTTCCTAACTTGGTTGAAAGCAGTCACAGGGAGGAAATAGACTCTGGCTAAGAGTGATAGGAACGGAGGACACAAGAAAGGGAACCCTCCCTCAGGGAAAAATCCCAAATAGAATTAGGCTGTAGCGAAGGACAAAGAAAAGCCATAGAGGAAAGGCTAAGAGGAGAGGTTGGGGAAGGGGATTTCCAGAAGGGGAAGGAGACACTGAGGAGGAAGGCCAGTGGAGAAGGGGGAATTGATGGGAAGAGCTGTTGGTGTGGATAGTCTAAAGATAAATTTCTCCCACTGGACATTTTTCTCAGGACTAACCGGTTCCCTAACAATCACTTTCTGAAGAAAAACAAAGCCTGACAATAAGCTTGACCTGCAGAGAGAAAGTGAACTGCTCATCTTTCATATTTTCAGTTGGAGCCCAAGTATTTAAATCTATTTTAGTTTTCTGTAAAATGCCTTTAGTGTGCCCCATTGTACAGTTACTTAGAAACACATCTATTTTAAAAAGGGAAATTCTACTAATTAAGCCACATTTTCCTGTTGATTTGCAATTAAATTAAGAAACGTGTTCACATGGGGGGAAATGTTAACCCAAGGATTAAATTAAAATCATATCTCCAATTGCACAAACCTTTAAAATAATATGACATATTAGGTACAAGATCACATGTGGAAACATCCATAGAACATTTAGTTAGAATTATAATTTTGGTGAAATATTAATAACAACACTGACAATTTCATCCCATGAAGAGTATCTTTGAGGGGTTAAATCTACCTAGTTCATGAGATTTAAATACATAAATGCAGACTTTTGTGAGGAGAGCTTCAAAAGCTTTCCTAATTGTGACTCCACCAAGCAATTATTTACCCATCAACTCTCAAGATGAAAAGGATATTATTCACTGGTCACTTTTTTAAAAGGGAATTTTATATCTAATTAGCTGTTTCTTACTAATCTAGATATAATCCAATGAGGATGCATGGAAAGAAGTTTGTATATTTTCTTTATTTAAAATTTTTATGTAATTGTATATATTAGATAACCTACTGAGAGAATAAATTACCCTAATTCATTTCCTTTTAGCTGCCTGCTTCCTTATTGTTGATACTGCTCTGCAGAAAGTGCAGGCTCCACCACTTATCAAACTGTGTGCTATTGGACAATTTATTTAATGTTTCTCAGTGTCGGTCTCATCATCTATAAAATGCACATGCTAATCCTTTCTTCAAGGGTTCCTCTACCTTCATCAGTGTTGATGCTTACTTAGCATTTGGTATTTAGCAAATGGGAGTCTGCTATTTCATTAAATATCTTTCTGTAGAATCAGAAAAGCCAAGACTGAATTAAGAAAATATAATTCCCCAGTGGGAATTGGCCATAAAGAATTAATATGTAAGGGGGGAATGTAATGTAACTTCATTAAGCAGGACATTTTCATGCTGAGAAGTCTGTGTCAGGGCTACCAGCTCACTGGGAGCTGTCCAGCAATCCAATAACATCCCAGCTTTGGGGAGGGAGCTCCTTTTACTAGAGTCTCCTAAGAAGGGGTTGGATACCATCTGTCAGGCAGCTGAGGCAAAGCTTTGCTTTCAAATCAACCTCTGAAAGCCAGGGCTGAATTTGTCATTGGGATAGTCACCAAGTAAAATTCAGGTTACTGACATTTTTAACCTGCTTGCAGTTTGGGGATACTTTGTGGTGTTGGCAGTGCCTTGTGATGAATACGGTCCCATTGTGATGATCTACATTCCTCCCACTGTAGCTGCTCTCACTGTCTTCTGGGAGGTGCTGTCCTGTTGCTCAATAAATAGCCCCTCTTCCACATGGCTAGGGCACAGAGTATCAAACCTTGTCTAGCTCATCTGGCCAAAGAACCTTAGGGGCCTCTTACCAGTTTTTATATTATACAGTCCACATTCCATGGTGAGAATGTACACAGGTGCATCAGCAAACTCCCCTTATAAAGAGGACATTTTTCAAATTGTGCACCCATGGGTATATCCAGACTAGTCTGGGTAAACCCAAATCCACTTGTGAGGCCTCCTCTGTCTTGGAATAGTAAAGTCACAACCACTTTTCCCCCCATTTAATGGCCTTAATGTTTCAGGCTTCAATTGAAGGAAGGCTTTTGCTAACCTCTAAAGAAGGTACTGGACACAGTGGACAAAGGCCTGATTCTGACGTATGGAAGAGACAACTGTACAAAGGATATGAATGGACTGATACTTTGATGGCTGTTCTTCTGATCGGGTTGAAAGGACTTAACAACCACAGGGCCCGAGTAGCACTGAACCGGGAAATGGTCCTCCCTTTGTTCAGCACCATGAATGTCTAAAACAAAACAAAGCAAAACAGAAGGACCTCCAGTGAGAAGCGTGTATCTCACACAGACATATTTTTGAGCATGAGCGGCATCATCAGCTCATGAGCTGTGACGGCCAAATGGAAGGGCAGAGAGAGAAGATTGGGGACCAAAAGCCATATCCCCACCTTCCCAGCACAACCCGCAGCCCGTGTCTGACTGTGCATTAAGATGAGCCCACTGAGAGCGCCTGATGGACAGAAGTATGTGCATATATGTGTGTGTCTAGATGCATATCTGTGTGTCTATATTATTAAAGATCAAAATCAAGAAAATGAAACACATAGGAATGTACAAGCATACAATTTAGTAGCCTGCTATACTGATGTTATCCTTATCAATAGCCTTGACTTTCACTATTGTATATTTGCAAGAGAATGTGAGAAAGATAAATGACATCTAAGAATATTATGGTATAATTTTGACCTCTTGAACCCACTGAAAGGGTTTTGAGGACCCCTCTGAGGACCACTGGCTTAAATCATCCTGATTTCTGTCCCACCTGTCCCACCTACCCCTAGCTTCAAGTTCCGTGCTCCCCACTTGCAAACAGAGCACATACATGAAGGTCGTAGGCTGGAGTTCATTCAAGGGAATAGCCACTTCACCCAAAGCACTCCAAGACAAAAGCAATCATGCTTTTAGGATTTGGATTTAATTAACCTCTACTATTAATACCATACAGATGAGTGTCAAAGATGTGAGTTAAGTCTATTGTTCATTAACTGAGTCTAGCTCATGGCAATATCACCCAGGGTGCCATAGGACTCTCTGGGCTGGGTGGGACAAAAGACTTCCTCTCCCAGAGCTGAGAGCAATGTTCCAGCCAGGAGGCCTTACCCGGTATGTGCTGTAGAAGGGGTCCAGGTCCTCCAGGGGCTCCCCAACCAGTTCTGCTGGGAGCTCACCATAGAACTTGGGCAGCTGGTTGCAGGCTTTCAAGTCCAGTTGGGGCCGAGGTTTCTCTTCTTTGCTCTTTAGCTGCCTGAACTTCTGCTTGACTTTGCTCTGCTTGTTCTTTGTTCCCTGCTTGGCAGCAATTCGCTTTTCAATCTCCAACAGGGACTCGGGAGTGAATCGACGGAAGTTGGTAGTTTCCAGGGACCCAAAGGGGAATTCCATCTTCTCATTCTTCTTCAGAAAGAATTCTTAGGAGAGTGAACATAACCACAGAGAGGTAACAGCTTGCCCCTGGCCCTCTCCCTCCCATTCCTCACATCTGGCTTGCTAGAACAGCTCCCCCAACACCCCTTCTGTTCCTTCCTTAACTCAACTCCTCCCAGAGTCCCACCCTTTCTGCAGTATTGTCAAGGGTGGCTATTTATTCCATGCTGTCCAGTACCTCTTCATGAACTTCTAAGTCATTGCTCTTTCATCTTTCACCATTTTCATTTCATCATTTTGTAACATACCAGCCCCACCACCACACTGAGCTATACTGCCCTCTCTCCTCATTTCAAACACTACTGAGCTCCAGGCACTCTCCTGTACTCACCTAAGACTTTGGTTCCTGGTCTACTTTATCTTGAGTTTCATCCCACTTTCTGACCACAGCCTTTTATTTATTGATATATTCCAACATTTCTTCTCTTACTGAACTCCATTTGGATCTCCAGGCTAATTCTCATTGTCCATATCTGAATATTCCTCTTGATATCCAGATCAGATACCCAGAGTCCACCATTTTGACCACACCGTTGCCCTTATCTTTATCTCCATCCTCATCCTAAATACCAAATATAGACCAATATAGATGAATCTAATTCATCTTTCTCTGAATCTGGGTTCCTGAGGGGTGATGAAGAACATCAGTACTGCCAAGAATCATGGTTTCTGAGCCAGTGGTTTCTTCTAGTCTATTTATCTTTTCTGTCTTTTCCCTATTACCCCTTGCAGTAAGCCAGTGACCATTTCCCTGGTTCCTGGAAAAAACACAATTTCCTCAACTTCATGCCTCCAAACCTCTGACTTACCTGCATCTGCACCTTCTTTTCCTCTCTCCTTGCTGACAGTAGGGAGGATATTATCTCTCATTCTGCTAAGAACATTCTTTCCCTCTGCTTTGGGTCTTATCTCCTCATGACGTCACTCTGCTATCCTATTTGTTTACTCTTTCTTATTATCATTTTCAGATTCTCAAATCTCCTTCAACTTAAAACACTTTTACTTGATACACAGCACATCCAGATCTTCCTTCTTCTCTCCCAATCTCTACTGAGTTTCATGAAGAGCTCTCGTCTCTCTCCCTAGTAACTCTTTAGGATGAACACCTTGGCTTCTCTGTCTACTATCTCAAAAGAAAATCCTCCTTGTGAGAACAACAGAGACCTTCTTGTGCTCATTTGAGGGGAAACTTCTCAGTTCTTATCTTGACTATCTTAATGTCCATTTTGGCCACTTCTTCCTGGAAACACACATTCTCTTTTCTATTGCTGTGAAACATTCTCTTGGACTAACTAATTTCCTCTCTCTCAATATCCTATTCCTTATTTTCTCCCATATATAGTGGTGAATCTTGGCACCCTATGGTCTTTTCTTATATTTTTTGAATAAATGACAGTAACAATAACATAAGCAGTACTTATAACAGTCCACGTAAAGCCTGGCTTCTTAACTTGGATTTCTAAATCTCAATGACTGAGCAGTTTCTAAGAGGGTATAAAAATTAACTAAATATATAAAACAGATAACAATTTGTAATTTCTCAGGCTACATAAATAACTTTGATATGTCATTGATTAAGATATGTGGTGTACAAAGGCCATAAGACTCAGGGCTGCTAAATGGAAAGAAATGTGAATAAAGATGCAGATAATAGGCTGAAGGTCCTTTCTCCCAGCTGTTCTCAGTAGGAAAAATATTTCTTTGATCATGCAACAGACTGAGGTGATCAGAGATGGCCAAGGCTCATGAGAAGAATTATTTAAATCATCAATGCACAGAAACATCAACAGTGGGCATAATTATCTTTAATTCCCATAGAAACCCTGAAAGTAGATAGAAGGTATTTTCTTACCTACAAGAGAACCAAGAACCAATGAGGGACTGTGCTTCCTATAGGTTATAAATATTCTAACTGGGCTGAATGTCTTGTCTCTGATTCTTTTGATTCCATATCTGACTGACTAGAACAGTTCTAAGGAGTCCAATAACAGACTCTAAGGAGTCCAATAGAGACTTTCCCCCACTAATGTAACATTTGGTTCTGTATGGCAGGTACGATGTTGGCCAGTGTGTAATTATAGCTTTTCCAGAGCCTGATCAGTAGGGAAAAAAGTGTCAGCCACCGTCCCTTGTAGAGCTGCATCTTCTGGTGCTCTCATGCAGGCTCTCATCTACTTACATACAATTCAAATTACCATCTGGACACTTCCGAGCTCGAATACACTAATCCACTGCCTTTGGACACATTCCCTTAAATTCTCTATCGACACACCTAAAAATCATTGTCTCCCATATTTCTTTATCTTCTCTCCACCTCAACTCCTCTTCCTCCTGTGTTCCCTATCTCAATAAATTGAATATCCATATTTCTAAGATAGAAACCTAGAGGTTCTCTCTCAAGCCTTCCTCCCTAATGTCGGATACTGTTTCAGACTCTGGGAATATAGCAGTAAACACACTATAGATCCACAATCTTTGGAAGCTGAAATGTAACACTGGGCCTCAGCCAACTTTTCTGGCCACTTTCCCAGACAGACACTTTCCACAGGAGAAAAAAAAGACCACAGCTATGAAGACAACATGGATAATCTGGAGTCACATTTGAAACATAAACCTAAATTTATATCTCCAGCCTCGACCTTACACCGACATTCAAATTCTTACAGTCAACTGTCTACCTATTACCCCATAGATGGATGTTTGAGAGATGTATAAGGCTCAGCAGTTGATATTTTTACCCCAACTGTGATCTTCCCTCGTCTTTATTCCAATAAATCAAAACTTCATCCTTCTAGTGGCTCAGGTCCCAAGACTTGAAACTTAGGAATTACCCAATCCTTTGCTCTGTCAAGTCTCCTTTTCAATTTCTCAGAAACTTCAAAAGGCCCTGCTTCTGAAGAAGAACTAGCTACTTGTCATCAGAGCCACTTCTATCCCCACAGTGCAAACCACGGCAACCCACTTCCACTGACACTGCCTTGGTCTATTTTACCATCATCTTTATCTTGGACTTTCATTGTATCTTCTTAACATGTCTCGCTGCTAGCATTCTCACAAATCCTTACTACCTATACTTTTGCTACAGAGTGACTCCTTAAAAACATGCCCTGATTTGCGTTCTAATAAACTTCATATCTGAGTTCATCTCACCTCCTTCTCTCCCCTGTTCACTGGAACCCAGACTAATTAAGTGACCTTGTTCTTTCGTGGGCATGCCAAGCACGCTCATACATTAAGGCTGAACTTGCTATTATTTCTGCCCACTTATAACCACATGGCTCATTCAAATATCACCATATTAGTGAAACTTCCCCTAATCATCTTTTCCAAAATAGCAGGCCTTGACCACTCTTAATCCATTTATCTCTCTTCATTTTTCTTCATAGCACTTTTAATCAACTAGTATTTTAATTTGTTTGTTATCTATATCCTTCATCTAGACTTTGTGCTCCCTGAAAACATGGATTTTAGTCTGTTTGATTAACTGCTAAATCCTTAGTCCTAAGAAGAGTACTTGGCACAAAGAAGGTGATCAGCAACTATTTGTGGAATAGATGAGTGAATAAAAGGAATGAACTGGAGAGATCTTGAATGGATGTGTATTAGCATACTGTAGAGCGTTTCATCTGCCACCAAGATTGAGTTTGGGGAAAATGGTGAAGAGACAGTAAGAACACCTGAATGGTGAAACTGACCATGTCCTTTGTTACTCGGAAAAAATTTATCTTTTGTTTAATAATAAATTAAGTTGATTTATGGTTCCTAAAATCCACTCTGATTTGGATAAAAGCTGTTCTCTAGGATGGGAAGAGAACAATAGGACTGAACTTGGAGGGCTGTGGGGGTGGAGAGATATTATGGAGATGCTGTGGCCAAAAAGGAAGAACAAGGATATGCCAGTGTCACAGAAGCAGGAGGAAGAAAAGTTTTGTTTTGTTTTTTAAGATTTTTATTTATTTATTTATTTATATAAGCCCTGGATACAGTCAGGAGCGCGGGAGGGTGAGAGAATTCACCAGAGCCAGAGCGGGGAGCAGAGCAGGCAGAAGGACCGAAGTACACTGCTGAGGGGAGCAGCGGGCGGCAGGAGAGGTCTGCGCGCCATGTGGGACCCTCCTCTGGTGGCCGGGGAGCAGCCGGGGATCAAACCAGCGCTGCAGAGGCTGCGGGCAGCTTCACAACCCAGCGCTCAACCGCTGCGCCACCGGGGAGGCCCGAGGAAGAAAAGTTTTAAGAACTGCTGAGCCCTGTTCTAGTTGTGGGAATGGTTTTAGTCACAGGGCTTAGGGGGAGTGTGAATAAGTACCGGGGAATACAGAGGATGTGACTAGATTGCTCAAGTTGCTGAAAAAGGATGGTAGGGATATTGGTGTAACTGAAAACATGGCTAAATTATAGGGGGTAGCCCTTATAATTACAAGGGGTACCCAAAGAGCAGGGTGATGATAATGAGATGTTTTAGATTCTGCTGCCATGACTCGGCTGCCTGGCAGAACAGGCAGCATGTTGTCAGGATGTCACAGGCCTGCAAGTGTGGTAGGGCATCCACAACTCTGGATTGAGTGTGACTGAATTGGTCCTGAGAAAAGTAACCAATCCCTGGGAATAGCTGAGTGATACTGAGTTATACATGGTGCTGAGAGAATGATTAGGCTCTCTAGTTCATGGAATGTGCTGCCAAGTTAGCTTTATCAATGGGATGCTAATGGAAGAGTAGAATAAAATGTTCTGATTGGGGGGGGGGTGTGTGGTCAGACTAGTCAAAACTTACAGAAGTCCCAGAGATGTCAGCATTTTAGATAGTGATATTGACATGAGTCTAGTTGAGCTGTCCATTCTCCTGAAAATTTCAATCATTAGGCCTCTGATTGGAGCAACAGGGCACTAAGCATGTGAGTAAGCTGTCCAGGGAAGAGAGGACTTTGAAATAGCTATGCTATTGGGAAAGTGTAACGAGC